CCGCATCAGTTTTTTGACTTCATGATATTAAACATTTCTTTAAAATATTTAATAGTACTTATAATAAAGTACTTAATTCTGAACGGTATTGTGAGAACACTTTCAAATATATATAATTTATTGTTATAATTTTAAAACGTTGTACGTATAAAAGAATTTAATCTTCTTCGCCGGACAACAAATATCTTCATGAATATTTTTCCTCTTCGGACACGACTCTAATGGCCAGTAGCATTTTCTTGCTTAATTAGTGTGAGTAATGTCATGCATTTGACCATTTCGTATATATGTGGCCACGACGCCGCGACGGTAAAAAGATACCGCGCGAAAAGAAAATCCGGAGAACGCTAAAAGTGGGCATGACAAATCCGAGGAGCCAAGAAAACAAAGCTCGACCGAGGGACAAAAATTACGAAAAACAATGAAAAATAGGGGAATCAAGTACGTCCATTTTCTCTCTAACAAAATCGTCTCGGCTATATATCACGCTACGCGAAAAACGTGTTTGCATCCATGTTTTCTCATTGCCTGTATTCCATATTACATTGCTGTGTATTAATATAATTTTAAATTTTTTTCTAAAGTTTCTTTTATAATATTAAAGTTTCTTAAATTAAGTTTCTTAAATAGTAATTATTATAAATCGTTTTTTCAAACTTATAAAAAATGTGTCACAATGTAATAAATACATTTATGTCCATTTCTACCAATGCCGATTAACTTTAATCTCGGTTTAACTTACTTCTTATCCTTTTCCAATTTTAAGAATTAGAAAAAGATAAAAAGTAAATTAAACCGAGATTAAAGTTAATCCGCATAGTAGAAATGGACATTAGAGTTCTTTTTCCTTAGATCAAATTGTATATTATCATAAATATAAACCATTTAATTATTGGAATAAGTTCATTTAAATATATAAATACTTTATTATTTTATATGATTCTTTCTTCTTATTTTGAAGGTATATATATGTATAAATACATATTATTACATATTATGTTTTACATATTTTCACATATACAAAAAATATCAGTTTCATATTACTATTATTATATTATTGTGTCATATTTTATATCTTACTAATATTTTGAAAATAAATTAATATTATTATTTTCCATACTTTCAATCAACTTTATTATACGCGCTATTGATTTCGCTTTATTGATTTCAAGATTCAATGAAAATATTACCATCTGTCGCAATAACGGATTTTTTCAATACAGGTTCGCTTGATAGACAAGTAACTACTTACCACGACGGTCGGATGTAACGGAAGGCTGTACTACTGGGAAAGGTGGTCCGATGTCGAATACTCAGAAAGGAGAAATAGTTTCGTCGTCTCTCTCCCTCTCTTTCTCCCCCTCTCTTTCTCGCCCTCTGCTCAACTCCAGGTCTCGCTATAATAGATAGACTTCCTTCTGTAACACGAAATAAATGCGTGAGTCTGGAATGACGGAATGATTGATTAATCTGCGCAAAGAAAGCGCGACATGGAATTTCGATCAAGGGAAAGTACATGCGTTACTTCGCCGTTACCAGCACGAATCGTGTATCGCGCATTTATATATACTCGCGACGAATTCGGCGAAATCGACAGAATTCCGTGGTACGTCATTGAATCGAGGCTTATATACCTCAAGCCGTCTCCGAGACCATCGCCTTTCCGAGAAGTGTCTTCCACACAAAATCGTGATATCGCGACGGACCAGTTCATCGCGGGAGATAACCGACGCCGCCGACGCGAACTAAAATCGTTTGAAAAAATGAATTCGTCTCACGTGTACGTTCTCGATATGACGCGTCACGCCATCACGTGATCTTCGATAAAATGTCGTCCTGCGAAAACTCGATCGATTCGAATCAAATACGGGAGCGAGAAGCTTCTTATAGCACTTTTTTTCAATATTTTCATTACTTTTTATTTGATTTAAATATTGGCAAAGATCTAGAGTCATTGATATATCAATAAAATAATCGATTGTACACAATTGGAAAACCGTATGTATGTACGATATCTAACCATTATGCGGGGAATACGACAGAATAAAATCGTGGATTTCGAAATTTTTCGAAGCTCACCTTCGTTTTTCCTTCGTGCGACTTGAGAATTTACCGTAACACGCTATGACACTTTCAACAAATGCTGCCGACGTTTATCTTCGATCGGGAAGATGGTCGCCCGAATTTATCGGCCGCGTGAAGTGAAGGCTCACCGGAAGATACGGGAGTGAGTGAGATTTTGCCATTTTTGCCTCGAAAAGCTCATGGTATTTTTAAAGTATGGCCTTTGCGACGCGGAGCCTGCGAGTTTTATGTAAAATATACAATGGGAACGCGGGAACGACGTATTGCACCCTCCGACGACCCGTCGGCCGAATTTCGCTCGTTCAGTCGGCGCAAAAATATCGCTACAGTACCGAAAGTGAGCACGATCATAACCTCCACGTGAAAGCATGGGAGCCTGTTACTATTACAATCATTTTAATCACAGCTCACGTGCCGTCGACGGAAATAAATAATATCAATGTTTAACAGAAATTCATGTTGACAAAGAAAACTGTTAATTTTAATTTATTATTCTTACTAAATATGTCGAGCATCATTTTAATTGCACATGCAATTAAAAAGTATTCTTGCTTTGACGTGAAGAAACGTATCTCTCGTATATATGTGTAAAAATGTCGGACTTATGCGTTTATTTTATGTGCGAAATTTCTTATTTGTCCTCAGCAACGGATCGCCCAAAAATCACTAGTAACCTGACCAACATACAATCGTCGATAAATGAAGCCGAGTCATTGGGACAGGAAGCGGCAGCTCACAAGAAACAGAGTGAACAGCAAAAGGAAGATGAGGAAGAAAAGGCGAATCGTGAAAGATCGAAGAGAATGATGAACTATGGATTTGCAGCATTTGGCGTGTTCATGGGTATTGGCTTCACTTATTTAGTATACGAATTAGGAAGACCTAACTATGACGAACATGGGAATGTCATCGAGGACGAATTTTCCAATTTACCGTTCTTTGAACAGATCTACAAGAGGGTCAAGAGAGAGCTTAATTATTATACAAGAGTACGATGCTTTTATAATTAATTCTATCTATACTTGTAGTATACATATATATTGCTGTATTATATCAAATGAAATATAATAAAGCAATATATATATGGAAAGCTTGTAAAATAAGTTTATAGTCTTTTATATTGAATTCTTTATGCACAGTGTATTTTCTAACATGTGAAATTATACTCATATGTTAGAGAATACATGTATGATTTTACAGTATGAGAGATTACAGTATGATTTTATTGTGTTTACAGCTAGTACAGGAACCCAGTAGGGAAAAGTTGTTACCTGATCCATTAAAACATCCATATATCCAGCCTCCATATACTCTAGTTCTGGAGATGACAGACCTCCTTGTGCATCCAGATTGGACAGTAAGTATCTGATCTGCAATTTCAATATAATTTAACGTTTGCTATGTATTAATGTTTTCTATGTATGACACATCGATTTCTCATGAGACCAATGTGACATACGTGTAAGAATTATTTGGAGTATGGAATATAGAATCAAGAAAGAAATATAAAAATATAGAGCTTAAAATATAGAATTATTATTAAAAATATTTAGTTAGCTTTTTTAATACATTTTATGTGTGCTACATACACTACATTGAATAGAACTACTGTTAAAAATATAGCATAGTTGGCGACAAAGATTTCTCAAATCTAAACATGTTAATTTAAGGGTTGACATACATGTATACGTTTTATCTGTAGTATTCAACTGGATGGAGATTTAAAAAGCGGCCTGGCGTAGACCAGTTTTTAGAAGCAGTTGCCCCACCACAATTTGAAATTGTAATTTATACAGCTGAACAAGGAATGGTATAACTGGTTTTTTATTTTTTTTAAATACTACTTCCGAATGTATTTGATAAAAAAAAAATTTATATGAGGAAAATAATATCTGTCTATTTCAATTACAGACAGTGTTCCCTATTTTGGATGCACTCGATCCAAATGGATATATAATGTACAGATTAGTTAGAGATGCAACACGTTTTGTGGATGGACATCATGTTAAAGATCTGGGAGCTCTCAATCGTGATCTTAGTAAAGTAATTATTACTGCATTAAAAAATAATTTCTTCTTATTAGACTTAACCATTTTTATAGTCACTACTATATACGTTGTGATTACAGGTTATTGTTATCGATTGGAATGAAGAGAGCGTGAAGTTACATCCAGAAAATGCATTTAAACTTCCTCGATGGACGGGTAATGATGATGATACTACATTGTATGACTTAGCGGCATTCCTGAAAAGTAAGATCAATCTTAAAATTATACGCCTTGAAAATTTTATGTACCGTCATTTTTGCTAATATAAATTCTATATGTAATTCTTTAATTATATAAATATCAACATTTTTAATAATTTCTATTGGTTGATAAAGATTTTAACTTTCTTTCACAGCGATATTAACATCGAATGTGCAAGATGTGCGAGACGTATTGAATTATTATAGACAATTTGATAATCCGTTGGAAATGTTCAAAGAAAATCGACGGAAATTTTTGGTAAGTTATTGTAAAATGTGGCAAGAATGTATAATCGAATATTTGATTATAATAATGATTATTGGCAGATGCAAATGGAGGAGGAACAAAATAAGCAACAAGATAACAGCAAAGTACTTATTTCGAGATGGAAACCATCTTTCCTACGGAACCGCTAGTCAAAATAAATCAATTACGTTGAAATTTTTGACGTGTACATCATTTAAATACGCAACATGTTCAGTCATTTCTCATCGCAACAGATATTATACATGATTATCGTTTAATTTTTATTACGATTAAATAAACGATGTTCTAAAGATAATTTTGTTTATTTATAACACAAATTAATACTGTCGCACGCACGCATTACATAACTTCGATATATATTACGTACAAAAATATAAATTTCAAATGATCAATATATTTCTATTAATCTGTTAATTATGTAAATTATTTAAGTGCGCTTTTTCTTGCGAGTTGTTCCCGATTTAACTTTTGGTAACAGCATTTCTTGCAGCATGTTGCTGTCATCAATGTATATGAGATCCTGTTCTTGTGACACACTAATTAATTCTTGAGTATTGATAGGGGTAGGTATGTACTCGGGTTCATCCTGTGATTGCATAACAGGATGTTTCGAAGTCGAAGATTCTAACCAGTTCAAAACTTTCTGATGTGATCCCATTCCTACCGGTACAGGTACTTCCTCGCGTATTTCCCAAGCTGCAAGAAGTTCTGGTGCTAATAGATCTATGTACGATCCCAATTTAGCTAATGATTGCTTCCAGGTTGGATCAAAACTGTCTGCATTTTCTTCAGTGAATTTTAAACGAGGACTGAGCATTTTGTTCGTAAAATCTGTGTAAAATCATTTTCATGATTTGCATTACTTATAATAGTTCAAAGTATATCTAAATAAAAATTGAGATATTCTCTTACTTTCAAATATATATTGCATATTGCACTTATCGGTAAGAGTTAAAGGTACTATCGGTTCAGCTTGAGCTGACAAAGCTTTTTCCCACATATTTAACGCATAACAAGCTTTGCTATTTATAGGAGAATATTTGTCCAATGTGTTTTCATGTGTTATACACTGATAAAATATATCACCTAAAAATAGTAAAAAGATATATATTTACATGTTTAAACATAACATCCTGAGATGTTAATATAGTATACTTTATGATAGAATATAATATAGTTATACCAATAGAATTTTGGATAAAATAGAATACTTCTGCATTCTTTATATTTGTAATTAATGTGCTACCAGCGTTACACAATTCAAATCTGCTTTGTAAATACGGATTCAAGCACATTCCTTGCATTTGAGATTTATTTAATGTTTCTGCAATGTGTGGGGGTGTAAAAGGCAAATTAAAAGAATGAGACTTTTCCTCATTCATCCATGTGTTCAAAATTATTGTGTTTTCACCGGCTTTCTGAGTTGATAGAACAATTATTTCCTTGTCATCGCTGTAATAAATATGTGATATGATGTAATTGTAATGGTAATTAGTTATTACAATTAGAATTCTTATTTAGCATTATTAACCTGTTAGTTACAGCCGCCAATAGCGGAGTATCTTTGAACTGATGCGTCCATTTTTGTCGCACACATTGCTTGGGAGAACGATTATCGCACAGTAAAAAGGAATGATAAGTGCCCAAATATCGACAGCGATTGTGTTTACTTGGTGCTTCTACCGACAAACTTTCACAGTTTTCCAAGTTAAATTTTGGACACAACGTGATACATGCTCGATCAAGAGCAGTCTGTAAAAAGATACAGTAATACTCAACTGCATAAAAAGTAACAAATATATTCTTATTATTAGGTAAATAATTCAGAAAATAATTTGTGCAATTTGTTATCGTATAAGAAAATAAATAGGTTTAAAACTTGCTTCTTACCCTAGTATCAAGATAATGCAAGCAACACCTGTCTACGTAAATTAAAACATTTGGATCAGTTTCCTGAAACCTTATGCATCCCCAAGCATCATGCTCGTGAGTCATATTATCTTGCTGTACAGAACCACTATTAATGTATTTCCTGAAGAAAAAAATACTGACATTGAGAAAACAAAAGATTGATGATATAAAAAAAGTTAAGATATGAAAAATACTTACGAACTATTTATATCCCATAAGGACAATATTCTTTCTGCATTCAGTGTACAATGATAATTAATATTAGTTAAACTCAAGTCAGCACTGACATATGGTACCTTTGATGCTTGCCTATGAATTTCATCAAGCACCAAGTGATTCTCAGAATTGGACAATGTATAAAGAGCACATTGACCCTTATGTCTTCCTAAAATTCTACCTAAAAACGAAGACATTTACTAGTATAACAAACTTCTATATATATATGAGTTTATCTTTTTTTAATTTTAAGATTAGCAATATACGTACATGTGTCACTAATTTTGGTTTGTCTAATTTCATACAACGCTCCAGGTAATTTACATTTAGCTGAATTTTGCAGCAATGGCTTCCATACGGAATCTTCCATGGGTGTAATATGTGCAGCAACTGAAAATATTTCAATATAAGAAAGACAGATTAAAACTACAATTGTACAAATTATTATTATATACATCCATGAAAATATGTTCTATATTAGGACAGTACCTAAGTCTCCCACAAATGGAAATAACAGAACATCCCAGTCATTTAACTGAACGTAATTTAATGATCCACCAGTATAGTACCAATTATAAGTCTAAAAAAAATATTTTATTAACAATATTCTGTTGTCTTACAATTCTTATATATCTTATATTCAGTTATTTATTACTTTCATATTTTGCAACAATAGTACCAAAAGATAGTTTTGTCATATTATCTTGTTGATAGTTCAGTTTATAGCTTGTTAAACATACCCCTTCAAAATAAGGATCCGGATCCGTATCAAGCAGTTCTGCTATATCTGCAATATATCTGGGTACATTTGCGCTATATCCCTTACTACCTCTTTTCCATTTTATGCTTTTCTTGTGTACTACGTCAAATTCTATCAAGAATACATTTTGTCAAGTTAGTTGTCAAGTTATCGGATATAAAAGTTATTAAATTTTTTTAAATATATGTACAACCTTTCTTATGCTTTTCATAATACTTTATTATTCTATTTATATCATCTTTTAGATGGCTTTTCAGAGTAAGGAGTTGCAAGGCTGGATCTTCTTCACTAAGCACTGCAAGTATTTAAAGAAAAAAAAAATGTTCTAATTATATTTAATAAAATCAGGATTTAATACAATAAAATCATCGTAAATCTTCTAAAATGTCTTTAAAGACTACAAGAAAGTTTAAAAAGTCTTTGAAAGTATAATACTTCTAAAATATATTCAAAAAATTACTTAGAAAGAAAAAAAAAGTTATATTCCAACAAAAATTTCGATATCATATCAGTGTTGTCGCATACCTGTTCTTGATAACTTTGCTGGTGGCAATAACGGCTTTGGTAAATCACAATTATATGGAAACTCTTGACAGAGTCCTATTGCATTCTCCTCATCCCATTTCTCAATACATGGTGATCTATTCAAGTTGTAACCCGGCATTACATGATGTGGATAATTCTTCAAGAACGCAGCACCCAGTTTATTCAATAGATTGTTTTCAGCGCGTTTAAATGCCTTTGACTTCAATTCTTGTGCCTTCATGATTCACTCAAGTCTATTCAGTTTCTTTCAGAGTGAAACATGTACAATTTCATCCATACATCTTTTATTCGTGAAACAATAAGAAAAATAATATACACAAAGTCCTTTCCCTTTCCTTTAGATGTTTGTATTATTATAATATAATAACATCACTTTTGGGATACACTTTGGAGATTGCGAGATATTTATCACAACAGCAATGAGAACAAATAAACATTGACGAAACGTATGATTAATAGATCAGCAAAAAAATCTACAATTTACACACGTAGTACATTTATTTCAATTATTATTACGCGTTCATGCGAAACACGTGCGTAGCGTCAACAATAGCCACGCCATAACAGTTTCTAAGGACGGCAAGGACGCATTTTCCGACGCGCTCCCTGAAAAAGTGCAACTTGGTGCAACTCAACAACGTCCGTTACGCTCGGTAACGGTACATGGTTTGTGTCCATGCTATGGTTCATGTCCGAACTACTCAAACTGAATATGATAGTAAAAAATTATATATTATTATTGTATATTCGACGCAATGGTCACGCGGAAACGCGCGATGCTATGTTAAAAATACTCGAGAGTCTTTATTTATTGTACAAATCGTGGGATATTTTATACATACCCTGCATAAAATGTCGGATTGAAAAGAATTAATTTAAATTCTGCTTTCTGATGCGAAGAAAGGGATTGAAAAGTATTGGTTCGCTGGGTTCGCATAAAACCGTACCATGCTGAATGTGAGACAGCAGTGGTTGATGCTTCGCATTGAAAAGTATTGGATCGCATTAAATTCACCCAAAAAAAATATTCTGTCATTTATATTCACCCAGCATAAAAAAATTATTTTTTTCGAAATTTTATTACTATTTTATAACTAAATTTGTTTCTTAAGGGGATGCTGGAGCCGTCTGTTTTACCGGCATTTTTTGTCGGCACGTAGCGTCGTATTAATTTGACAGAATTAAAAATCCTTCTCCAGAATTGCAGTAGATACATTAATGATTCGGGGAAACTCCGATTTTATATAGAAAACGAGAAAAAATTACGGAAGTACAGATTTCCTTATCCTACTCTTATCCCAATATGGCGTCTCGAGTTGCGGCGAGCTGTCAGCTCGTCACAAGATGTATTTCATATAAGAGATATACCATTGGTACGAACGCGAAAACAAGTTTCCCCGAATTGCACAACAAGAAAAACATCGATAAACCCCCCAAATCAAGATTTGGAAGCGTAATATAAAAGTATAATGTCGGTGTGCATCGTGCGTATGTGTGCGTGCAATGTAGCGTGCTATCAGAGAGAAACCTGAGAGAGGCCATCCCGGTCTTTTTCGTATGTTGCTGTGTTGCATTTTCCGACGCGCCGCCTGAGAAAGTGCAACTCAACTACGTCGTATCGCTCGGTAACCGCACATGGTTTGCGTCCGTGCTAATGGTTCGTGTCTGAACTAGCCAGCTGGAGGGGATATTATTCTGGCCGCGGCGGCCGCGCGCTCGGCCGGCCCGGGAGTTGCATCTGATTGCACCTGTTGATGATATTTTTACCTTATTTTATATTATATTTTTTTTTACCTTATTTTATATTATATTTTTTAAATATAGATAAATCGCGCAAAAATATCTGTTCCGCGTAAACAGCCACCGTCGCCTCGATATCCCTCACGTACTGACTGTTACTACGTTTATGCGAGCGTTACTTCTGTAGTAACTTACGATACGTCCGTCGCGTAAACGGGATTTTGTAGTAACTTACGATACGTTACTCCGCGTAAACGAATGATATATCGTAAGTTACTATAGAAGTAACGCTCGCGTAAACGTAGTATGAGGGAGTTACGTAATCGCCAGGCTAATGATCACTACGTGTTCGCGATATATGTATATAACACTCGCGTTTCGAGAGACAGCTACGTCGACCAGACACCACCGAGACAGAACGCAGAGCGTAGAATACAGCCAGTTAAACCTGTGAAAGTTAACGAAAGATTCGGCATACGTTGTCTTTTATTGTTCGTTGAAAGTTTTCGGTATTTTTGAACCGGCCGCGGCCGCGCGCGTAGGCCGTGACGTCATGCGCCGCTCCGCGCCGCCGGCGCGGCGGATCGATACGGTGACGGTGATGTAGTATGTAGTAGGCAGTGTAGGCACCTGCGCAGTCCGTACTAGCGGCGTGACCGTTGAACTCGAAAGCTCCGTACCTCGAAGATCGGCGCGTTTTCAACGTTGTTTCTGGCGATGAGCGGACTTGTCACTTGTTTCCGTCAACGCTCGGAGTAGTGTTACCTGCGTGAGTGACTCAGTTATCATTCTTCCGAGGAATCTCGCACCGGTAGGAAGTGTTTGTGCTTCGCGCGCGCTCGTCACCGACGTCACCGTGCTTCGTGCTGTTTTCGGAACGCGCTCGTTTCGGTGATTGGCATTCCTGCTTCCTCGTTTCGCGGGCCGCGGGAATACGCGCTACGCGATCGAGTACCGCGCGCCGTGTGCCGTGTGTGTAAAACAATTTAGAGTGTATGAGGTGTTTATCGGAATGAACGTGTCGCGCGACGCGCTCACTCGAGACGTCGAGGTGGAGGTATGTATGAACGACTTGCTTTGCAGTTTCGCGCTGTGATATTCGCGAGTGATAGTCGCTCCTCCCGCCATGTCTGGATTCGCGAAAAACGCTGACGTGCCGGACGTGTCGTGTGATTTAGCTCCGATTCTCTCCGTAGGGAAAAAGGGCTGAGAGATATTGATCGTGTCAAGTGATTCCGGTGATTCGATCGGTGATAACGGAACGCCGCGATACATCGCCCGTTCGTGAATGCTTCATAATCTCGATTTACGAGTTTGGTAATGACGTACTGTGCGTGCGATATTTAATTTCAACAGCGTATCTCTGATTGACGAAGTGCGTGTCTTTATTAACCGTCCGCTCGACTTGCGTAGTATCGCGCCAAGTTGCCAACATCTCGGAACATTTCGTCGCCCATTATTACGTCGCCCATTAACAACGTAACGCCGGTAACGCGGTGATGAACGCGTAACGACGCGGAGCACGCGGCGTCGCGACTCCTTCAAATTTGCATGAAAAATTCATGTTACCCGCTTTTATATTACAGAGAAAAGTACTTTTCCTTCCCACGGGTACGACCTTGGCGAGGTGGGAAGGCTCCAGTACCCAGTACGAGGATTTTACCCAAGCAAAACTCTTGTTCTGCTTGGATAAAAATTCAAAGACGGGGAAGCTAACGTACCCTCGTCCGCCGATTTAATTGAATGAACGAACCGCAGCCGGTTCGTCGCGTTTGCTTCGGGAGTGCCGTTCAAGTAATCGGACTAAAGGACTTTTCTAAACGGGAGTGCCGTACAGTATCGCGCGAGAAAGACTTTTAATGAAATTAGTCCGCGCGCGATTGTAGTTTATTATCCGCGAGTGTTTCTCGCGAGTGTCCTGTGCGGTGAGACGATGAAGCCTAAGTATCCCCTGAGAGGAGGAGGAGGCCTGGGAGAGGCATCGGGCACCGGCGGAGCAACCTTGGGGTGAGTATCATCTCTTTATATCTGCGTAAAATTAAAATAGTTCTTTTTTATTTATTTGAATTGTTTTATCTCGATAAATTAAAAATAATTAGAGAAAAAGATTATCTAAAATTTTACTCTTATAAAGATCGTTTTCGGTGAACACAGATGATTGTGTTGCTAAATATTTTATTGAAAAACAAATTAGTTGCGCGTAAAAATTATATTTTGAAAAATGTTGATTATTTTGAACGCTTCTTTAATTTGAATCTTATGTTTGTATGTTACAGTATCATCGTAGCTACGTGGCTGAACAACTCCGCCCGTTGCACATCGGCGTGGTAAGTCAGAATTTTTTTTATTGAAATGACAAATCTACGATTAGTCAGATATAGAGCCATTGTATCTCGGAACATATCGACGCTTATATATATAAATTAATTAAGTCAGGGTTTTGGGAAGTCGCGTCCGCGTCGCGTATACGTCTTCCCCGGGAACGCCGCCGCGGTGCCGGGTGGAAGATCCGTCATGCCACGCGCCACGTCAAATCGTACGTGGGGACATGCGATTTCAATGCAATATTGCGACATTTTAGAATACTCTGAACATATTAATTTCCGCAAATTTGGAGATATCTATCTATTTCTAATTTTATTATATTTTTCAGTCTTTTCTACCCCTATTTCATATATAATTCTTTTAAATTCGGTTGATTAGACTTAGCTTTATATGCGATCAAA